TCTTTTGTGCCCCCTACTGGGGACCTGGTCTGCAACCCAGGTATGTGCCCTCAGTGAGACTCTAACGGGATACCCATTGTGTCGCAGGCCTTCGCTTCAATCTGCTGAGCTACACCAGCCAGGGCCTGTTGTGATTTGTAAATGTCTGCAAATCCTTTGATATTTCAAGAAATGGAATCAAATTCACCTTCAGAGGTGGCTCTATAAGACACCGTGGCTTCCTGCTTATTCATTTTCCTGTTTTCCCACCCCTGGGGGAATCCAGCTGTTATGTCAAAAGGAATATGTAAACCAGCAGATCTATGGATAGATGTGGAAAGGAACCAAGGCCTCTGGACAACATGTGAGTAAGCTTGTGAGTGAACCCCCAGCAGATCCCAATACCTTCACAGCAGCCTCAAAAAAGGCCCTGACCTAGAACCAACCCTATTAGCTGCTCTTAGATTCCTAGCCCTCAGAAACTAAGGTCATGAATGCTTTTGTTATAAGCTGCTGAGCTTGGAGATAATTTCCTTTTCCATTAAAAAAATTTTTTTTTAATTTTATTTATTTATTTTTAGAGAGGGAAGGGAGAGAGAAAGAGAGAAACATCATTGTGTGGTTGCTGGGGGCCATGGCCTGCAACCCAGACATGTGCCCTGACTCCATTTTTAAAAATTTTATTGTATCTTTTCCATTAACCATTTATCCCTCCTATACCCTCTGGAGTAATTTTTTTATGTAGCTGTGAATAACCAGTACACCTTCCACAATATAGGACCCCCTATCTATCCTCTTTACTGGGCAGTTCAGATCAGGTGAGGTAGTAAAATGAGTCAGAGCACCTTCATTCAAATTATCTGTAGTTGCTGCTTTCTGGCTGTGGTATGTTGGGCAGGTTACTTAACCTCTCTGTGCCTCAGTTTCCACATTTGTTAAACAACAATGGAAAGAAAGATTGTGAAGATTAATCAGGAAATAAATCTATGAGATTGCCTGGTCCAATTCAGGGCAATTGGTGTTTGCAATCTGAGCACCCTCTGGCCCCCGCAACCTTCCATTCCCTGACTCCTTTGCATGCTCTTAGCCTCTGCTAGGAGAGGCTGGGACTTTGGAAGCTCCTCATTCCTGTGGAGGAGAGACTGTTCCATGATACAACTGATTTCTGTCTTGCAAACTGGACCAGGGCCAGAATGGAGGTTGCTTTCTACAAAGCCCCTTAGAGACTGTCTGATGGTAACTGATGTTCGTTCTGACATAAAATAGTACCCCTCCCCTGCCTCTGCTACGTGATGCTTCCTGGGATAGGTTGTTGTCCTGACCTGGTCAAGCATGTAAAGTAATTTCTGAACCTGGTAGCATTCACATAGTGGTACCTGTGACTATCCCTGCCCGCCTCCCGTTACCCTGCCAAGGTGCTCAGGGATCCATTTCTCTTGTGGCTGCCCAAAACATGCCCTGTATGTAAGTTTCCCTTAATAAATTTCATTAGTTACCAGACTTGAGTGGCCAGCCTTTTTCTTCAGTCTTTTCCCTGCCCTCCACTTAGGGGAATAGATTTTCGGTCTCCAGGTTTTTCCCTGGGTCTGCACATATAAGAACAATCCTCTTCCCACCAATGTAGACAGAGGAGGAAGAGACCTGCCCTCTGCCAAGGATTTTCTCCCAGTCTTGGGGTGGGAGGGGACTTGTCCATGAGAGGCAGATGTACCACTGGAAAGGTATACAAGCTTGCACAGTGCAGAACAGGAACTGGGGCCGTGTTAGCCAGGCTTGTGCTCCAGCCTAGCCACCCTGCCACCTCCCGGTAGAGAAAAAGAATTGTAATTTGCTGCTCATCACTTCCTAAAATATTAGGAAAACTGCCATTTCCAAGGCTCTGCCCATTTCCTTTCCTTTTCACCAGCTTTCTTTTCCCTCATCTCTCTTTTTAAATTTTTTAAAGTTGTATTAATCACAAATAATATATGAAAAATATTAGCCAACATTTCCTGAGAACATACCAGCCAAGTTTCTAATACTGTTATGTCCCTCACAACCACTTTATGAGGCAGGTTCCTATGTTAGTCTCATTTTACAGCTGAGAAAATACCAAGGCGTAGGGGTTAAATAATGTTCAAGGTCACACAGAGGCAAAATAAGCTAATGAAGCTCAGGCTTCAAAGTCAGTACCTCACTGACACATGCAGTTCCAACGCTGTGTGCTTAATTTGGTGAGGAGGGGGGATGAAGAGTATCAAATCTCTTTGAAGTTACGGTACAAATGAAAGAACATTAGTAGATGATTTGGCTGTGCAGAATTTTGTATTCATATTTAGTAGTTATTTTCTTAACAGGTCCATAGAAACTGGATGCGACCTCAGAGGTAACAGATACAGTGTGCTGTTTTCTTGCAGATACTTAAAAAATATATTTACTTTTCTAAACAAGCACACATGAAAACAGACCCGCCCCCCCCTTCAAACATACCTGTGGTCCCCGACTTTGTTAACAGAAAGGCTTGACTGTCTTTCCACGTTTCTAACCGTCCTGGGGTATGCGCCGCAGATGCTCAATTTACTGACCCACCTTCCCGGAGTTCAACCCTCCACTCACCTCCCAACAGCGACCGTCCCTTCTCCGGGACTCCCGCCTCCTCCCGGAGTGTAATTCTGCCTTCGCCAGATCCTCAGCCCTGTTCCCTCGCTCACGTCAACCCGTCCGCCTGCCTCTTCGCTGCCTCTACACCGCCCCGGTTACTGGACGTCCACCAATTTCCCCTCTCCTTCCTCGGCCTCATAACTCACCCGCACCCCACCGCCTCCCACGAACCTCGTTACACCCACAATCCCCCAACCCTCGGATCCTTCCGCGCCCCTCCCCCGCACGCCCGGCGCCCCCAGCGGTGCGACCCCGAAGCCGGGCAGGAGCTCACAACCCGAGGGTTAGGGGTTACGACGTGTGCGGACAGGGTAATGAATGGCCTCAGCGGGAATTAGGGACCTGGCAGCTAATCGCCATGTACATTTACATTTTAAGTGCTAGACGAGCGAGAAGCGGGCATACCGCGGGGAGGAGAGGCGGGGATGAGGGCCTTTCTGCGCTCTCCCTGCACTGACTCTCTAGCGAAGTGAATCGAAGTGTGTACAGCTGGCTGCGGGGGGCGGGGTGGGGGGGCACCACACACATCTTAAAGGACCTGCCCAGGCGGACCATCTGCGCCCTACATAAATCCGTATCTCCCAGACCCCTTCCTCCAAACTGCAGCCCCCTGCCTGCACCCCGTAGATGGAGAGCTCGGTTCTTACCTAATGAGCCCCTTCCCACGTAGCTTCCTGCCGCACTGGGGCTTTTTCTCAGGCCTAGCCGAAACTGCCGCCCTTGAAGTCCCACAACTACCCTGACCTTATAGAGCCCGGGGTTCCCTACACCGCGCCACGCGCTGTAAACAGCTTTTGTGTCTTCTCAGAACTGCTGTGTGTCTCTAGCTCCTCCTATAGCTTTTCCTCCTGGGGCCCGCTGGAGCTGGCGTGGGATCGAAGTCCAGGTTCGCAGCGGAATGCTACCAGAGGGTCCCTGATCCCAGCGAGCAAGCAGGAGATCCGGGCCGAGGTCGGTAACTCAAAACGTATTGGTGGCAACAGCCACTTCCAAGGGGTGGTAATGGGGTCAGCCCCGGGTTCTGAACAGCAAGGACCGAGAGCTAAGAGTTACAGGGTGCCGAGGAGGTAAGAGCATCCGTGAGAAAGGAGAGGAGGATTCCGGCAGCCCCTCTCAAGACTGGGGCTCAGCTCCCCCAGGCACTGCCATGCCGCCAGCACTCTCACTGTTGCCTGCCCGCCCCCCGCCCCACGCTCCGTCGTAGTCACCCCCACCTGGATCAGGTCTGCCCCACTCTTAGTTCTGATTGTGCGGGGTGCGTGAAGTGGGTTGGATAAATGAAGGGTGAGGTGCTGGGCCAGTTCTAGGGAGGGTTCAGCTCCTTTTCCAACCCCCTCCCTCCCTTCAGCCACCCTTCAACACTAATCTCGCCTCTGTCTTCACTGTTCATCTCTTCTGGCAGGAGATCGGGACCACCCTCGGTCCTACGCAGCAGTTCCTGGAGAGGAGTACCCAGTAGCCTCATAATACCACCAACGCTTCAACTTCCCACCCTCCTCCTTTTCCTTTCTTAAAACCTGCCTACCCCGTTTGCGTTTTGAAAAAGGACCCCAGGGGTCTCAGGGTGTTAAAGCTGACTGACAACGAATTCCACCTGAGAAGAAGCGGGGTCCACGCCAGCGGGGAAGCATGCCTGGTTTACCTTGAAGCGTGCAGCTCTAATAGTGGATTTTTAGACAGAGATGGAAGGAGCTTAACTCCCCTTGAGAAGGGAGCTCCTGGTTTTCTTCCCATTCATCCCAGGGAACAGGCTGGCCCAGAGTGTCACTCCCCACTCCTCAGGGGTGTCCGAAGGTCCGATGACCTCCAGCCCGGTCAAGAGCAGCAGGACTAAGACCTCAGTCTCTGGCTGCCCTTCGAGGACCACGCCTCAACGTCCTCGTCCGAGGGCAGGCGCGGAGTGGGACCAGAGCCAGCGCCTCTTGCACTTGCTGACGGGGCACAGGTCATCCTTGACGAGAGTATCCAGGTTCGGGAGCAGAAGGAACAGCGTTGTGGTAGAGTGGTCCCCAGAGCAGTGGGGGAAAGAGGCTCCGCAGGCCACTTGTAAATCTCTCCTTGGGAGGGGAGAAGGGGAAGCCTTCATTGGAACGCAGAAGGGGCTCGGGGACCCGGCTTGAAGCGGTATTTGCACCACAAACGCAGTTTTTATTTAGGTTACCTCTTTATAAAGGTTGGATTGGGAATGGCTGATGGCAATTATAGGGAAACTTCGCCAACCAAGTCACCCCCTGGCGCTGCTGTTACGCGCCACAATGCGCGCGGCTCCCTTGCGTCTATAACGCGGGATCCCACCGCCTGGGTCTGGGAGGCGGTTGAAATTGGGGCGGGGACAGGCTGGCCCAGTTAGGGGCGCGGCCTGGCGGAAGGGGCAGGGCCTCGGCTACAGGCGCCGAGCGCTGGGCTCCAGATCTCTGAGTAAAAGCAGCAACCACAAGAGAGAAGTGGACGACGACACTACTGCTGCCCCAGCCTGCCCATCAGCCTCCCCGCCGCTCCCTCACCGTTGTCCCTGCCGGTCCTTTCTGGGTGCGACCGGCAACCATGCCGCCCCAGGGCTGAGGAGGCCCCGTGGCGAGGCCCGCGTCCCGGCGGTCCTGGCAACGACGGCACATGGAGAACTTCCGTAAGGTGCGCTCCGAAGAGGCAACGGCGGGGTTTGGGACCAAGGGGGGCGGCCTCGGCCCCTTTGCCGACCTCGCACCGGGCGCCGTGCACATGAGGGTCAAGGAGGGCAGCAAGATCCGGAACCTACTGTCCTTCGCCACCGCCAGCATGGCACAGCCAGACACGCGTGCCATCATCTTCAGCGGCTGCGGTCGGGCCACTACCAAGACGGTCACGTGCGCCGAGATCCTCAAGCGCCGCCTGGCTGGCCTGCACCAGGTCACACGGCTGCGCTACCAGAGCGTGCGCGAGGTATGGCAGAGCCTTCCACCAGGGCCCACACCCGGGCAGAAGCATAGCGTGCCAGGCGCCAGTCTCAGTGTACTTAAGAACGTGCCCAGCCTCGCCATCCTACTTTCCAAGGATGCACTGGATCCGCGCCAACCCGGCTACCAGTCCCCGAGCCCCTATTCTGACCCCTCGTACCTGCCAGTGGCGGCGACGTCCAAGAGGAGCCTAGGGGAAGCCGATGTAGCAGAAGGCTCCTCGAAAGGGACACAGCCTGAGCCACGTGCTGCGAAAGAGGACCTGACGGCCTGAGAACTCTGTTCTGGGCCACCTAGTCCTGGCTTTTAGCCCTAGCGCTTTGACCTTGAGATGCATTTCCTGCCGCTCACGTTCCGTCTTCTGGAGCTCACAGCCTGGTCTCAGCTCCTCAGACTTCCATCATGGACCCCACAGCCAAAAGAGGAAGACCCCAGGGAAGTGTCGTGGGCCAGTTGCTCCTCCACGTGTGTTGCGGGAAGACTCAGAATTTCACCTTCAGCTTTGCTGAGCCTTACTGGAACTTCTTCAGGGAGGGTATGGTGGGCAGTGGAACTCTTGAGCCTTGCCCAAAACCCACAAGGGTTAAGGGCACCTAGCATCAAAGGGCTGAGGAGCAGGAGTGTGGAAGCCAAGGACGCGTGGGATCACCCTCATCCATTGGCAGCGGAGGGCACCGGGTGAGAAATGGACTGCTTGGGGGCAGGAGAGTCTGAGTTGCAGGGAGCCCCATTCTTCCCCTCACCCCAGGACAGTTTGCCTTTCTAGTTTCCCTTCTCTTGCTTATAAGGAGCATTCTGAGATCATGGTGGCAGAGGTGTGGCCACAAGCTCTAGCTCCATTAACGTCACCCATTCCCCAAGTTGGCCCAGAGGGAGAGACCCAGGACAAAACTCTCTGTGCTTCCTCCCTTGAGCCCAATAGCTGGAATGTTGCTTCCAATAAAATAAACACGAAAATGGCTCTGTCCCAAAATATCCACTAACTGCTTGCCTTTGCAAAGACAACTCTGAGCTGCCCACTTCTGTCTCAGCACCCGCCCACGCCGCCCCCCCCCCCCCGCCCCCAGCCTGGGATCCTTAACTGTTGGAGTCTTCAGGGTCAGGCACAGAGACTGGACAGATTCAGAATGCTGCAAGAGGGACATTGCCCAATCCCTGGCTTCTCCTCTCTCCAGCCGCCTGCCCCCTATTGCTTCTGGGCTCAGGGGTCTGTGCCTGAAAGAAAGCCTGGCTCCCCCTGTGCATTACCACTAAGGGAAAGGGGACAGCACATTGTGTTTCTGGGAGGGGAAGGAAAGAGCATCCGCACACCCACTGGGAGCATCACTGACAAGAAAGAAGGGTAGACCTTGCTGAGGTCCCTAAAGCCTGCAACTTCCTGCCAATGGGCTGAGCCTTATCCAGAAGGCTGGCACAAAGCCCCTCACCCCCATGGGTAGGATCTCCCCCTTCACTGCTCTCTTTGAGAAAGGACAGCACACCCTTGGGAGAGGGGGAGGAGACAGATTAAGCACAAATCCACTGCTGGAAATTACTATTCAGCAGAGAAGCTGGGATTTGGGCTGTGAATCACTGCAGCCTCCCAGATAAGCTGCTGCCTCCAGTTCTGCACAACTGTCTGCTGAGATATATCAGCCTCATAAGCCTTTCTGCTCAACTCCAAGTCAGCTAGGGGAGGTGGGAGTGCTGTGTACTGGAAGAATTCTAGCAAGGGGGTTGAGGGCACACAGCCCCAGAATCTCAGAAGCACACCTTACCCCATGCAACTCAATAGCACCCTGGAAAGGAGGAGATGTGGAAGAATGTGAGTTGCTTTGCTGGCAGAACCCTGAAGTAAGTCCTGTTAGGGACAAGGTAGGTTTCTGCAGCTAACACATGTTCCCACTTCCCCCATATCTCTGCTTGAGCTTTGGATCAGTGAACCCTGCTATCTAGACTCTGGCACTGGTTGCCTTCCTCAATTTATTGTTCTTGATGAGTCCCTAGGGAGAGCCAAGGGGGTTGGGTGTGATTGTTGACACTCTCAGGGGTAGTCCAAAAAGGGTAGAAAAAATGAAAATTATCCTAACAACCAAGGAGCCTTGGACTGGCCCTGGGCTTGTGCATCTAAAATAAATGAAAACTTGGAAAAGGTGGCCCTGGCTGGTGTGGTTCAGTGGATTGAGTGTCGGCTTGTGAACCAAAGGGTCACTAGTTTGATTCCCAGTCAGGGCACATGCCTGGGTTGTGGGCCAGGTCTCAATCAGGGGACTTGCAAGTGGCAACCACACGTGGATGTTTCTCTCCCTCTCTTTCCCCTTCCCTTCCCCTCTGTCTAAAAATAAATGAATAAAAAATTAAAAAAAAAAAACTTGGAAAAGGTGGAAGCTTAAGGGAGACTAGTCTTGGTTCTAGAAAAGAGCCAACTCTCCAAGACCACTAGTGCCTGAATCCCTGATTACCAGTCACAAGGAATATGCAAGCAGAGGCTTGTGAGGGGGGCGGGGGATGCTGCAGTCTTTCTCTTTTGATGGCTTGGGTCAGCTAAGTCCCCTTCCAGCTTGGAAACCCTCCTAGGGTGTGGAGAGGAGAGGGGCATGTTGTTAACCCACTTTCAGAGTGTTAACTTGCCCCATGGAGGGCTGTCTCTGCCTCCCATGCTGGGAAGCAGGTTATGGAACCGGCTTTCTTTTCTTCACCCCCACTCTACTCCAGAAGGTTTGGTTTGCAGACTTCTGGTAGGTGCTCATGGGTGCCACTGGAACCTAGCACTCACAGGCACCCCATTCCAGCTTTATTGATCCTCTGGTTCCACTGAACCAGGAGCAGGCTCCAAAGGAAGATGGTGGATATCCATGTACACCTCCTCCAAAGCTGAGGTGGGCCCCTGAGAAGGGCTGGAATAAGGGAGGAAGGGGAAGTCCCTAGCAGACCACCTCAGAGACAGGTCACTTTGGGAGCCAACAAATGGCAGAATGCGAGGGAGTGGGCAGTCCCCCTGTGACCCCATCTTCCAACAGTGGCCACTCTCGAGGAGTTTCCTGGGCCCTGCCTTGGGGCACTTGCAGGCTCAGGCTGACAGTGAAGTCTCACACCCACAAAACTGTCAGGTCACACAAGCAGAATCCATTTATAAACATAAATGTATACTCATATAATCCACGGGCAGAGCCTGTAGTCAAATGGGCAGTGGACCTTCAGCTGAGCCTTGAGGGACTTCATTGTTATTGTGCCAGGTCCCAGTCTAGGCATGAGGTAGGACTGGGGAGTAAGAATCACAGAATAATCAGACATTGTCTCTGCCTCAAGGAGGTCCCAATCTAGTGGAGAGAAAGAAAAGAAAGTTACAACACAATGCCATGGTAGTGGGAGGGTACAGGAGCTCTGAGAAGAGACACTTCACTCACCTGGAGGTGCTGATGAAGATGGTTCCCCAAGGACCAGAAAGGCTGGGCAGGGAATTCTAGGCAGAGCACAGAGAAGTGGTGCTGTGTCTGGTGTTTAGGCAGCCCCAAGTATGAAGTGTATAAGCATCTGAAGGACACATGGTAAGAGGCAGGCGGGACTGGAATACCATGTGGGAATCAAACCAGAGGGAAGCCACAAAGAAGTGGAGAGCCAGCATAAGCCAGGGAGTGCCCTGCTCTGTTCGGTGTTTGAGAAGGATCCCTCCAACACCTGTGTAGGAGGGAGGGAGGTTGGAAGGGGACTGACTAGTTCCCAGATGAGAAAGAGATGAGACAGCGGTAGTAGGGCCAGAGATGAGGACAGACTTGGTAGTATTTGGCTGCCATTACGGCCAGGACAGAAGAGGATTTCTCCTTGTAGCATTAACCTTAGCCCTCATTAGTGTTAGCCATCAACCAGTGCTATCCTTGGGTTGTCAGTCACCTCACTGAACCAGAGCCCATGATCGAATAAATCCTATCTGCCTTACTCCCTACCCTGCTCCTGGCATATGGGAAACCCACCAGAGAGCTGGTGATTGAATGAATAGACTGGCTGAGCCAGATTTCTGAACTGTTCTGATGCCATATCCAAGTTCTTAACTGTCCAGCTCCTATTTGAACAGTGGCCAAAGCTTCCCCTCTCCTCACCACAGCTTCTCTTCCCATCTGGATCCTTGAGTCCTCCCTGCTCTTTAAAAAGATCACCACGGTGGTTGGGTTTGTATTTTTGTATACCCAACTTGAGGATTCTGGTGGGACTACTGACACCTCCTGACTATTACAGATATTGTGGATTGAATTGTGTCCCCAAAAGGTGTATTAAAGCCTTGGTACCTGTAAATGTTACCTTATTTGGAAATAGGGTCTTTAGAGATGTAATTCATATATATGATGAGATCATACTGAAGTAGGATGGGTTCTTAATCTGATATGTCCTTACAAGAAGAGGAGAAAAGACAGAGACAGACACAGAGGGAAAAACAGTATGCGAAGATGGAGGCGGATTAAAGTTATGCAGCTACAAACCAAGGAATGCCAAAGATTGCCAGGAAACAACAGAAGCTAAGAAAAAGGCATGGAACAGACTCTTCCCTAGAACATTCAGAGACAGTATCATACTACTGATTGACATCTTGATCTTGGATTTCTAGCTTCCAGACTATGAGGGAATAAATGTCTGCTGTTTTAAGTCACCCAATCTGTGGTACCTTGTTACAGCAGCCTTAAAAAACAAATGCAATAGATAGTCTCACCACCTTTAGTGAAAATAGGGAAAAGGAATGTGGAGTGTTTGCCAAGGTCCTTTTATCAGAATTTCTAGTCCTGAATAGAGGAAGGCTCTGTATTCTGAAGACAAATGTAATGCCTGCTGTCAGGTTGAACATATCATAGGCTTTGGAGGAAGAAGGGCTGACAGTGATTTGGGGCAAGTTAATTCTCTAAGCCTCAGCTTTCTTATTGGGAAAGTATGCCAGATTGCTGTGGGATAAAGGATATAAGATCAGTCTTCCCAACCTTGGTTCATCATCAGAATTACCTAGGACACTTGTTAAAAATACAGGTTGTCTGGGCTAAACTCCAAGAAGATCAGAATTCCCAAAAGACCTGGAAGTAGGCATTTTAAAAAAGTTTATTTAGCCCTGGCTACTGTGGCTCAGTGGATTGAGCACCAGCCTGCAAATCAAAAGTTTGCTGGTTTGATTTTCATTCAAGGTACATGCCTGGATTGCAGGCCAGATCCCCAGTTGGGGTCATGCTAGAGGCAACTGATTGATGTTTCTCTCCCTGTCTTTCTCCCTCTCTTCCCCTATCTCTTTAAAAATAAATAAAAATAAAATCTTTTTTGAAAAATTACTTAAAATAGCCCTGGCTGGTGTGACTTGGTGGATTGCGTGCCGGCCTGCAAACCAAAGGGTCACCGGTTCAACTCCCAGTCAGAGCACATGCCTGGGTTGCAGGCCATCTTCCCAGTAGGGGTGCATGAGAGGCAACCACACATTGATGTTTCTCTCCCTCTCTTTCTCCCTTCCCTCCTATCTGTCTAAAAATAAGTAAAATTAAGAAGTGTTTGAGTTGCCACCACTGAGTGGTGCTGGGAGAGGGTCTTGACTCAGGGAGCTGGGAGGCAAAGAAAGAACCTTAGGATAGCAGCAGATGGACTCAGAGCACAAAGCTCTGCTGCCATGGATCCAGTTTCCTGCAAGGAAACTGAGAATGAGGGGCCCAGCTCAGACAGCTACAAAGACTCAGCTTTCTTTGTTAAAAAAATAAACAAATAAAGATATGGAAAAATTGGAATCTGCATACATTGCTGGCAGGAATATAAAATGTTACAGGCTGGCCCTGGCTAGTGTGGCTCACTTGGTTAGTTCATCATCCCATAGCCGAAGGTTGTGGGTTCAGTTCTGGTCAGGGCACATGTCTGGATTGTGAGTTTGATCCCCAGTCTGGGTGTGTGCGATTCCTGGTTCATGTGAGTATGGGAGGCAGCCAATTAATGCCTCTCCCTAACATTGGTGTTTCTCTCTCTT